GGACCTCTAGGCCCTGTCCGGTGGGGTGAAACGACATTGAAAAATCAACCCATTATTTTTCTAGGGGCGGCCAGGACCTGATAAACGTCCTGGGCTGCCCCAATTTATTTATTTTTTTTGCCCCAGAGGCCTCAATCCAGACATATTGTCCAGACACCGGACACCAGACAATGGACACCGGACTGTCTGGAACCCGGTCCGGACGTCCGGGCGGTTACCATGGTAATTAGCCCACGAGGCGGAAAGAAACCTGGGTGGCGGGGGTCGCTGCGGGCGCATCGTCCGCCACCCACCATCTGCTGTGAGAGGTTTGAGTATGAGCATGACCGGCCCTCAAGTTCTGCCGTGAAATGTTTTGAGTGTGAGCGTGCCCGTTGGGACCCGACAGACAGGACTACGCCTGGGCACGGGCGGCCCAGGGAACTGTCGGGAGGCCCGCAGCAATGCTGGCTGCAGCGGGCTGTTCCCTCGAAACCATTCCCGCGTCGGCCTTCAAAAGTCCCATTTGAATATTTGCAGCTACCACTGAGATCCGCACTGGGACCCGCTTCACCTAGGCACAAGCTGCTGGCACAAGCTGTTGAAGTTGCGGTAGGCCCAGCACCCTCCCACTTGCCGCAGCGTCGGAGCAGCCACGACTGCCGAGCACAGGTTGCAAGCGTCAGAGCCAGCCACTCTCGGGGCTGACTGTTTTCGACAGATGAGTTGTTTCTCACTCCTTAGCGGACTTCGACTTCCATGACTGTCCGACCTACCGTCTGTATCGATCAGGTGGTGCCTGCGTTAGCGCACAGTTTGGCGCAAAAGTGGGCCAGAGACATTGGCGAAGAGAATGAACCCAGACGGGAAACGGTGCTGGTTGTATGCATGGAGAAAACGGAGATGGCAGAGGTGAGGGAAACAGCCTGGGCACAGGGGGCACTCAAGGTGGTGAACTATGCCTGGGCGGGGCCAGGGGTCACCAGTAAAAGGCTGCCGCAGTCCTGGCTGCGCGGGCGAAGCTGTCCCAGCAGCAGGCCGCTTTGGCCTGCAAAGTTCTCGTTTAAAGATTTGCTACAGCGGGGCCAGAGGGCACCGGTGGGAGGCTGCCGCAGTTTTCACTGTGCGGCAGGCTGTCCCAGCAGCAGGTCAGATGGAACCTGCCTCCACTTCGGTCTCCAAAGTTCTCATTTGAATAATTTGCTACTATCGCCAAGATCTGCACCAGGATCCGCGGGGTGGTGGAATAGGTCTGGGGAGCCATGGCCAGGGGATACACTGCCTGTTAACCTCAGCCTGCTGTGAAAAGTGGGAGGGTTGGGCGTGAGCAGGCCTGTGGGACTAGCACCTGAGGACCTAGGTCAGACTGATACACCCGCGGACTGTGGAAAATAGACCTGTAGGAACAGCCGCTGGCGGGCCTAACTCAGTTGATACACCTACGAACTGTTGAAGTACAGACCTGAGTTCGAGCTCCGCTGAAAGCAAACGAGTAAAACGCTGCAATTTTGATTTACCTAGGGCCGGTTGGTGCCCTTGGCTCTGCCTTTCTGCCTATGGAAGTTTGTTGGGACTGACATTGCCTAGCCTAGCTCATTCGGTACGACCATGAACTGTCAAAATGCAGGCTCGAGTTCGATCCCTCTGGACTCAGGGTGCTCAGGTTGTGCCTTGGCACCGCGGGCAGCTGGTACACCCCCGAACTGTTGAAGTGCAAACCAGAGTTCGAGCTCAGCTGGAACCAGAGGAGTGAACTACTAAAATTCTGAATTACCTAAGGCCAGCCTGGTCAATGGGGACACACCCAGGCTGCCACTACGGTCAGATACATTTAGAGATGATACTAGTGCTAGTGCGCCCTTTGTGTGTTCCGAGATAGGTCTCGGAATCACCAAGCTCTGAATTTGTTTTTATTTATTTATATTATTATTGTTATTTTATTTTTTTATTTTTGTTTTTTTTTCTCTCTCTTCTTCTTCTTCTTCTTCTTTTTTTTATCGGCACAGTGGCAGCTTTTCCTGAATGGGCTTGGCTATCAAAAGGGGAGACCGCCAGTCATAGAAGAGATTTGTCAATTCCGAAGGGTAGACTGTTGTCAGACCATCTGCTTGCTGCTGCGCTACAGCCAGAAGGACGAGGAAGGGAAGAACAAAAGAGAAAAAGAAAAGAGTAGAAAGCGAAGACGAAGAAGAAAGTGAGGGTGACAAGAGTGGAGGATGTGGCCCTCGCTCGTTTCTTGATGAAAATGAGCGGGGAAAGGTGGCATCTAGAGGTTTTAGGCTAGGGCGAACCAAATGGTGTTGTTAGATTCTCGATTTGAGGGGGTGATGGTGCGATAGAGAAGAAAGGACAAGCGCGGACCAGAGGTGGCAACTGGGTAACTGTTGCCCGTACCTGACCGTACCCAACTGTAACCGGCAGGTTATGGGCAAGTACGGATATCATTCCGGAGAGCGGCATCAATATGGGCAGGTATAAGTTTTATTTGTGGATTTGAGGGCAGGCACGGTTGCACTGCGTGGAGATCACGGGCAGGCACGGGCGGGTACTGGCGGTGAAAAGGGAAAAACCGCAGAAATGGGCGGCCAAGAAAAACAAAAGCATGGGTGGAGACGTTATAGGGTGGTGAAAAAAAGAATCAGATGGGTATGGGCGGGTAAGCAATTTTGTCGGGTAACCGTACGTAATATCCACCTTCCCCCCCCTTCCCCCCCCTTCCCCCTCTTCCTCCCGTTCCCTTCTTCCCAGGAAATATGCAGACCGACGGAGCTGTTTTTTTCTTAGGCACATTTTTTTTCCTGGCGCGAACGGCGAGAAAAATATTTCAGGAATAGCCTCCCAACTTCGAAATTGGCCACTTTCGAAATTGGAAGGCTCCAGCCTCGCCTCAGGGAGTTCCCCCTTGGAAATTGGCCGCCCGTCATGGTTGTACCCCCCGCCCTTCTGTGTGCATGCCACTGCATGGCCATCGTCCGACCGTCGTGGTTGTGCCAGTTGCCATTCTGTGTGTGATGCATGGCCATGTGTGAGAGAGAGAGAGAGAGAGAGAGAGAGAGAGAGAGAGAGAGAGAGAGAGAGAGAGAGAGAGAGAGAGAGAGAGAGAGAAAGAGAGAGAGAATAGGTGGATGGCCTCACGCTACGTGGCTGGCCTCACGCTACGTTCATCAGTAGGATGAGCAAAATCAAATGAATCTTTCGCGTTGGGCAGTTAGAAGGAATAGGGGGCGGCTAGGGGTTGTTTGGGGTGGTTGGGGATAGTTAGGATCGATAAGGGGTTGTTAGGGGCGGTTGGGGACAGTTAGGGGCGGTTAGGGGCGATTTGGGACAGTTAGGGGCGGTTAGGGGCAGTTGGGGACAGTTAGGGGAGGGTAGGGGCTGTCTCTTATACACA